CCTTTCCTGGCCCCTGCAGGGTGTGCACGGGGGGGGGCCCTGCCTGGATTTGTTTTGGGGTGGGGAGGGAGCAGCAGCTCCGGGCTCCCCTGCCCTAATGTGGGGCTCTGCAGCCCCCAGGGGGGCAAGGAGGGTTTTTGGGGGGGGTTTGGAGCTTCCCCATAGCGTGGGGACAGACGGGTGTCCCCATCCCCTATAGCATGTGGCAGCGTGGGAGCCCCCCAGGGCCAGGAAATTCCCCCCCCCCCCCGCCCACCCCGGGGGATTTTCTCACAGCACCCACAGCGAGGAGGATCCCCAGGGAATCCCCCCACCCCCAGGACTCCCCCCCCTTGGCTCAGCCTTGCTGCCCCCAGGTCTGGGGGGTGGGGGGGGGAAAGGAACAGCTCAGGCTTTAATCTTCCATCCTGCAGCCCCATGGGGGGGGGTGGGAGGGAGGTGGTGGCCCCCCCACCCTTATAAACCTGCCCAGGGCATCGGCAGCACCTGGGGCTCTGCTGCTGAGTGGAGCCACTTGGGGTGCCCCCTTTGGAGGGGGGGGTCCTGGGTCCTTCTCAGTTCCCCCCAGGTGGGTTCATGGGGGTGGGGAGGGGCAGAACAATAACCAAGAGGGGGGGGGAACCGAGGCAGCGACCTGAGCTGCCCCCCCCCGTGTTTGCACACTCACACCCACGTGCACACACATGCACTGTGCTGCTCTGCATGGGTGCCTGCCCCCCCCCGTCCCCAAATGCCCCCACGGGGTCTGCCCTGACCCCGCCACGCGGCCGGGGCCACCCTGTCCCTGCGGGGACCTGCCAGGGCCGGGCACTGCGCCAGGGCTGGCACCGCTGTGCAGGGCTGCGGGGACACAGCCGGGGGGGCAACGCCACCTGGGGGGGGGACACAGCGGTCACCCTGCTGGGACACAGTGGCCACCACTCCTCCCGGAGCCCTGTCCTGCTTGGGGTGCCCCCCGTCTTGGGGATCGTGCCCCCAGCCCTCCCCTTGGCACCGTGACCATGGAGGGAAACTGAGGCACGGCGCGACAGCGGCAGCTCAGTGTGGTGAAAGGGGGGGTAACTGGGGGGGGGGTTGTGCACCCCAGGGGAAAAATGCAGCAGGGAAAGGGCCCGAGGCTGGGCTGAGCCTCCCCGAAACTCATTTCACTGGTGAGTCAGCAGCACGTGGGGCCCCGGTGACCCCGCTGTCACCACGCCAGTGCGGCCACCCATCAGGCAGAGCCGAGCCAGGGTCCTGGCGGGTGTTGGCAAGGGCGGGGGGGGGGGAACAACAGCCTCCCAGCGCCCCCCCGGCACCCACACCCTGCACGGCAGCCCCCCGCGAGCAGCAGGCAGCCCCCGGCGCCCCCCCAGTGGGCAGGACACCCACGGAGCAGCCCCAGCCCCAGCCGCAGCCCACCCCGGAGCCCGCGTGCAGCCGCCCCCACACGCGCAGATGTGCTGCAGCCGGGATCACACACACGCCTGCTCCCCCCCCAGTTCCCCCCCCCCAGGGACACAGAGACCCTGCTGGGCACCCCTAGACCCCCCCCATGTCCCCCCCTCCGCGTTGCTGCCCTCTGCTTTTGGAGGGGTTTGGGGGGATTAAGGGGGGGGCTGCGGGGCCATGCATGGTTGGACCCCTTCCCAGTCCCCAATTGCTCCAGGCCACCTGGGTGGGGGGCACCGGGCTGCCTTTGGGGGGGGCATGGAGAGGTTTGGGGGTCCTGGGACCCCCCCCAGCTCTGGGAATGGGGATCTTAGGCTGCTTCGGTTTGGATGGTGCGAGTCGTGTCCCCAGCACCATGTCCCCAGGTGTCCCCAGAGCAGCGGGGTCAGGCCCACACACCTTCCCCCCCCCAGCCCAGCACCCGGTGCCAGCGGCGCTGGGAGCCGGCCAGGGCCAGCGCGACGCCAGCAGCGCTCGCACCGGGCGGTAATTACAGCCCCGGGTGTCCCCCGGGAGCTGCACGGCACCGGGGCCACATCCAGCCGGGTGCTGGCTGTGCCCCTGAGCACTGGGGGAGGGGGTGCCGGGGGTGGGTGGGGGGCTGCTGGGTTTGGGGGTGCAGGATGGGTGCCATGCACATGTGGGTGCATGGATCGGGCACCGCTGCACCTCAGGGATGCGCCTGCAGCGTGCACGGTGCTGGGTGGCACCACGCCGCTCCTGTCCCCATCCCTGGTGGCACCGTGGCTGCTGCATCCTCTGCTTTAGGGTCCTGGGGTGCAGGGACCTGTCCCGGGGTCCCCCCATTTCCCAGTTGGGGACGGCGCGTGGCCGGTACTTTTCCAGCAGCGCCAAGCCCAGCGGCTCTTTCCATCGCAGCGCGCGCCCCCGGGGAGTTTCCACGGGAAAGGGCCGACCCCGGGCCCCCCGGCGGGTCTGGGGACGGTGCCAACGATGGGGCTGGATCCATCCCTCGGCCTGGGAACGCCGGCGAGAGGTTCCTGGAAGAGGAGGGGAAGAGTCCGTGCGCGCGTGTGCTTGCGCATGTGCTGGGGGCACGCTCACCGGGGGTGCGCAGGGGTTGGGGGCTCTGCACGGTGGCGTGAAATTGGGGGGGGGGGGGGTTGTGAGGGTCTTTGCAATGCGTTGTGCATGCTCAGGGCCCTGGCCACGGGGGTGTTTTGGTGCTATGGGGGGGGGCACAGCATGTGCAATAAGGGCGGGGGGCCGGGCCCCTTCCTGGCTCTGGGTAAGGGCGGCTGCGGCCAGACAGGGCTGGGCCTGACCCTGCTGCGTCTGAGCCCGGCGCGCGCGGAGGCCTTGGGCTGGGCTGAGCTGGGCTGGGCAGATTTATGAGTCTGGGCTGGGCGGCCGCTGGCTGCAGGCACCGGGCTGGCTCCAGCCCCAGGCCCTGTCCCCGGCCGCCCCTGCACACCCGGGGCCCCCCCAGCCCCGTTCCCACTCGGTGCCGTGAGCGCCGCAGGGTGACGCACTGGGGACCTCCAGGGACATCCCTGCGGCGGCGTCTCCAAGATGCGGCCACGGGGCCGTCCTCCCCCAGCCTCCTCGCCCCCTCCCCAGCCACAAACCAGGGCTGCAGGTGGGGAAACTGAGGCCGGGAGCCAGGGCAGCTCCAGCAGCCCCCAGCGCGGGGGCCGGATGCTGGCGCAGGAAACCTCCCCGTGGCGTCACGGCCGCTGTTCCGCTGCGTCGCAGGGCGCCCCATCGGCACCAAGCCCCCCCCACGTCACACCAGGGATGGGGACGCTGCGGGATCCCTCCCTAGCAGGGACACAGGGGGGGTCCCCATGGCACGGTGGCAGCCGGCTCTCCCTGCACCCCTCTTGTCCCTGTGGCAGGAGCCGACTTTTGCCCTCGTGGTGCCAGCAGCTTCCTTGGCCCCGCCGCCGAGGGCAGATAATTATAGCTGCAGAGGAGCTAAATATAGCTCCGGCGCGCTATTTTTAGCCCTGCTCCCAGCTCGGTGCCACCAGTGGCTCCCGGTCGGTGCCGGATCCTGCGCCCGCGGCAGGGGGGTCCGGGGCCTTTCATACGCTGCCAGGCACGGCCCGGGTTTGCTTTGAGGTTTCCTGGCATTTTGCCTCTGCTTTTTAAGGGAATTCGGGGGAGTTTGAGCATTTTGTGGGGTAGGGGGCGAGGGCTGCAGCTCTGTAGCCACGGGGTGCAGCCACGGGGACCCCGCTCCAGGAGGGGACAGGAGGAGCTGTCACCAAGGGGACTTTGTCACCGGTGGCTCCGGTGAGGCCAGGTCTCCCCAAGCTGCTGTGGGGCGAGGACACAACAAAATCAGGTCTCCTCCGCACCCCTGAGGCTCTCCAGGCCCTTTGGGGCTCCTTCACCCTCACTGCACCGCCCCGTAACCGGTGCCAGGAGCCCCCAAAACCCCCGGGGTGCCGCAGCTGAGCCCGAGCAGCGCTCGCGGTGCTGCCTGGCCCCTGCCGCCCTCCGCCCGGCGCTGGGGTCAGACGCTGAAACATCCCAAATATTCCAGGCACGCGGAGGAAGCGTGGCTCCAGTCTGCCCGCACGCTGCACGCATTCCTGCCTGGCCCGGGCGGGCAGGAGCTGCTCCAAGCCTTTCCCCAAAGCGCCCGGGAGGCCGTTTCGTTGCCTTCCAGGAAAGGCAGCGCGGGTCCCAGCGGTGCCAGCACCTGGCCCCGGACCCCAGGCCGGGTGCTGGGAGAGCGGTGGCGGGCGGGAGGTGCCGGGAAGCAGGCGGAGGTCGCTTCCTTTTCACTGAAAAGGGAAGAGTCGCAGCTCTCGGTTTCGCTCAGCGGGACGCGGGCGGTGCTGAGCCCTGCCTGAGCCCCAGCCCCGCACCAGCGTGGCCCCAAGTGGCCACCGGTGTCCCCCGGCTTGCAGAGCAAGGGGAGGAGGAACCGGGCTCTTTGCTCCCCAAAACCGAGCGGTCCCACTGGGAAGGGACCCTCGCCTGTCCCCACAACCTGCGGGATCGGCTGGGGGCGAGGTCGGGGATCTGCCCCTGGGTGGTCGCAGGGGGGAGAGCGGGGACACCCCGCACGGCCCCGCTGGTGATGGTCCAGGACCCATCCTGCCCGGGGCAGGGTGAGGATTTCCAAGCAATGCCCGGTGACCTTACGCAGGGGGACACGGAGGAAGTGCCCAAAGGGGCGCAAAGCTCTTCGTGGAAGGCAGCTCCAGAGAAAGCGGCAGGAAGGAAGGGTCGGTCGTTACCCAACACCAACGACATCCCCAATGAGCACGGCTCTTCCCGGAACGCCGCCGAGCTCCGGGACCGCGCTGCTCGGTGGCACCCACCCCACGCGCCCCCCAGACGACAGGCTGGGCAGGAGGTCTGGCAAAATGAAAAGTGAGCCTTTTTATTGTGTTATCAATTCACTTCTTAACAACAATTCCACGAAATATTAAACACTGTGCAAGAAATTGGTCTATGGCACACCAGAAATAAAAATCAGAGATCCAAAAATGCAGACGTTATGAGGAGCCTACGTTACATACACCGATTACTTCCTAAGTACAGTCTTTACAAACCTTGATTCGCGTTTGGCAACAATATCAGAATTTGGCAAATAATAATAATAATAATAGACCAGAGAGAAAAATTAAAGAGCGCAAAGTATCAGACGCGTGGCTTCTTCTCGATGAAGTAAATGCGTTATTTTCACTTTTTGTTAAATAAAGGTGACTTTTTAAGTACTCGGAGGAAGAGGGCTCTGCTGGGGGCACCAAAGGTGCCGATTTTTGGGGACGGCGGCGCCGTGGGGCCAGCCCCGAGCTCTGCGATCTGCGGCCAGGCTGCTCGGCACCAAACTGTGCCTGGCTCTGGCACCAGTACCAGCACCAGCACCAGTACGAGCACCAGTACAGGCACCAGTACCAGCACTTGTTACCAGCACCAAGCCGCCTGGGAGCTGTGGGGCCATGCAGGCACCGTGCAGGGCTCGAGGCTGCACCCCCGGGAAGGTCCCCGAGACAGGGAGGGGAGGGCGAGGAAAACGGGACCGGTTTAAAAAAATTAAATAGAAGCTACGTTTCCTCTCTCCCTTTTATTCTCCGGTCCCTCTCCTTTCTATTTTTGGCAGCAGCTTCACCACATGCTAAAAAGAAAACTTCAGGCAGATTTGGGCATGTGTTTACATCCAAAAAAAGGCCTTTGTGGAGCCGGCGCTGAGCTGGCACTGGCTGCCCGACGCCTGAGCAGCAGCACAAAAGAGGCACCAACCACCTCCTCGCCCCCCCCCTTAGCATTCTGGAGCACTTAAAAAGTCCTGAAAAGTGTCTTTTTTTTTTTTTTCTTTTTAACATTTTTTTTCTTTTTTTTCTTTTTTGGCAAATGCACTAACAAAGTACAAGCAACTACCGTAATTTGCACTTATATTTATGCTATACAAAAACATCTACAGTATGATCACCGATTTACTCAGACGAGGAGAAAAAAAAAAAAAAAAACATTAAAAAAAAGAAAAAATTGGAAAAAAAAAAAAAAAAAAGGTTGAGGATTTTCCCCCCTCGCGAGCCTCCGACTGCAGCCGCCAGCGAGGCCGGGCCCCCACAGCCTCCGTCCCTCCGCGCACGGCACCAGCAGGGAGCCTGGCCTGGGCACCCCGTCCCTGTTTCCCCCCCCCAGGAGGGACAGGAGCTGGCTGTGGGCTGGGTGCAGGCAGGCCCCCCCAGCTCCGAAGCCATTTCCCATCCCCAGCCGTGCACCAGACCCGAGCCCCCCGCCTGCCCCAGAGCGCAGGATTTGGCCAGGACCACGGCTTCCGCATGGGCCACGCGTGCCCACCGGGGGTGCGACACCGGGGAGGGGGGGGGGACGCTCCCCGACCCCAACCCGCTGCCAGGACCCGCCGGCAGAGCACCCAGCAGCCGGTCCGGGTGGCATGGGGTGGGTGCGGAGGGGTCTGGGCGCAGGGCTCGCTCCCGCTGGGTTTTGGGGTGCGGGGGAGCACCCCGGGGCCAGGTTTGGGCACGGAGCAGCCGTGCCCGAACGCCTGCGCTCCCCTGGGGACGGGACGCGGGGCTGTGTCGCTGCCCTGCAGCTCGGGCGCTGGCCTGGCCCACCGGCTATAGCACCAAGCTCTGGTCTCTAACATAGAGGAAGAATCAGCGATCTGGAGTAGAAAAATAAGGCTGGAACTGTACGAGATTAAGGACAGAGGAAATTCCCTCCTGGAGAAGAGAAAGCCCTGCTGCGGCGAAACCCTCGGGACAGTGCTCGCTTCCCGCTACGGATGCGGCGTTCGGGAGCTTGACGTGATGCTGGATGAGATGGAAATTAAAAAAAGGCTTTGCCCGTGGCCGTGCCGGGGAGCCGCCCTCGGGGTCACCTCGCTGCTGGTGGCCGGTGCCCGGCGCGGAGCTGTGGGCGCGCGGTGGGACGCAGCACGAGCACGGCACCGGGCTGGGGGTGCGAGCGGGGCCGGGAGGGAAACGAATTCCCAAAGGGAAATGAATGAAATTCCCCCGGGTGCAGCTCACGGTGGGATGGGGAGGACCCGTGGGACGCGGGGAAGACGGGGGGGGGTGGTGTTGGAGTTCTCAGTTCAGCACAAAACCCCAGGGAAACGGCTGCAGGACGAACACGGGAGGTGCTGCGGTTGGGGGTAGTGTTAAAAACGCGTTTTGTCCTTTTTTTTTACCCCAACTTCGTTTAAAAATGCGAGTGATCACGCACTTCAAAAAGCGAGGGTGATACCTGCAACCAAGAAGTGTGAATGGAGCATCTCCGCCACCGCAGCCTCCTGGGGCCCCCCCTGGTCACCGACCCCGTTCCTCTCCCCCCTGCCTTCGCCTCGCCAGCCTGCACCAGCGCGGGGACCCCGTGCCCAAAAAATCCCTGGGGGAACAGGGAAGCTCCCAGCCTTTCACATCAGGTGTGGTTTTTTTTTTTTTTGTCCTTCTCTTCCCCAAACAGCCTCTGAAACTATTTTAGACCACAGAATCGGGTGCCTGCACTCACTTGAGCTGGGAATGGGTACCAGTGTCGTGGTTAGGAAACCCAACGGGGCCTCTGCCTACCACGAGGAGCATCAGCCTTCCTCCTCCTCCTCCTCCTCCTCCTCCTCACCACAGACCCCCAGGCTCTGCCCCACACAAACAGGCTGGGCTTGGATAAACCACGGCACCGTGACTGCGGGGAGCGAGGTGGCTGTGGGATGCGGTGGGGACTTCCCTGAGCTCTGACCTGTCCCCGAGTGCCAGGGGGGCTGCTCGCCGCGTCCCCGCTCCTCCCCGCACGCCGTGCCGAGCCGTGCCGAGCCGCCTCCTCCCTTCACACAGCGTGGTGAGATGGCCAAGGGCTGGGAGCTGCCCGACTGCCCGACAGCCTGACCCTCATCCCCCCGAGCTAGCGGGGCCGGGGGGAAGGGTTTCCACTTTTTCCACTTCCCGCTCTCGGTAAGAGCAAGGGCGCTGGGGAGCACTGGTGAATCTGCCAGCTGTAGTGTTTGGGATCCAGAATCTCCAAAAGGCCGTTTCCAAAGGTTTCTCGCGTGGTGCTGCGCTGCAGAAAGCCCCTTCCCTCCCCCCGCCCCCAGCAGAGTCCTGTTTGGGAAAAAACAGCGGTAACCCCACAGAGAACCCAAAACCCCGAGGAGATCAGAGGTGCCCAAACCCGGTGGTTCCCATGCTGGGAGCTCCCCACCGTGAGCCACCAGCTCTCAGGGCTCCCCGCGCCGTGCGGGACGGGGACCCCCCCTGCTGCCTCCGTGCCCCCTCCCCGGCGCTCAATTTACTCATTTGCAACAGCAATTTTTTCGAGTTGTGATTTGGGGTGGGTTGTTTCGTTTTTTGTACTAGTTTTCTAGGAAATCGCCACCCGCCTGGACTCCTCTCCCTCGTTCCCTCTCCAGAAACGGAGCCCGCAGGCTGAAACGACGACGTGCTAATTGGGAACTAATCAGGTCAGACCCACCCAGACCTTGGTTCAACGCCCCTAACGGCGAGGTCCCGGTACCCCCTTGCATCCCGTTGGCAAACGCAATAAAAACCCCGCTTCCTCCAGCACCCCGGTACCAATTTGGAATCTCCCTATTAAAAACACCCCCCCACACCCCCTCCCCAAACCCCCAAACCCCGTTTTTTGTTTTTTTTTTGTTTGTTTTTTTAAATTTTGACCCCTCTCAGTGCGGCACCTGCCCAAGGAGCAGCCACCCGTCTCTAAAGCACTCGCAATTGTTTGAGATTTAAGTTCTACGTGAATCCGACGTTAGTGTTTACCCCTCGGCGCGGTTTTAGGTTTTGTGGCTTGGGTTTTTCAGGTGGTACGGAACGGTGCTGCCCTGCCGGAGAGATGGCACGCGCCCGGGCGAGGGAAGCTATAGGATGATACAAGGCTTTTTGTCCTTAAAGGGATTCTCCGAGGCGGGCACCCCAACCAGCAGCGGGTCATTCCTGGCATGTTGCTCGCAGTAATTCATGAGCTCGGAGGATGCTTTGGAGACCTGAGGGATGGGAAGGAAGAGCAGGTTAGCGAGGAGATCCAGGGGAGGGCTGGGGGTGCGCCGCGAGGAGGGGACGGTGCCGCGCTCGCCGGGGCTCCGTGGTGAGATTTAACACGGCTTTTGCTAACAGAAACTTCACAGAGATGGTTGAAAATGAAAAGGGGAAATGGGCATGGAAAAAGGGTTTTAAGGTCTGACATAAATTAAGCGACGAGTCTGGGAAAAAGGCTGCCAGCCGAGAGCGGGAGATGCAGAAGAGATATTATTGCCCTGGCTCTCAAAGGCCTTGGGATAAAAGAGAAAGAACAAAAACGCCAGCTCCGGAGTGGCCGTCCTCTGATGTTAAAAACGGAGGTTTTGAAACCATCAGAAGCTATTACTTAAGGCCCTGCTTATTTTAGTTCAAAGATGTATTCTGGGAACCGCGAGCCCAGAGCAGCCCGGCAGAAGAGGCCGCGGCGGTGGGCAGCGGCACGGCCGCACGCTTGGGCAGCGGGGAGGGAGGGAGGGAGGGAGGGAGGAGGCACAGATGGAGTCGAGGCAGGGAGGTGCCGGCAGCTTTGGAGGCTCGCAGCAGAGCCATTTTTTTAATTAACTTAATAGCTGGTTGAACACGAGGCCAACCCCAAACACGCACGCAACCGCGCTGCATCTGCCAGATGGGAGCCTTTGGGGCTCCGCGGCACAGCTTCGTGGCGGGGGCTCTCGGGGGCTGCTCACCCCTCTTCGTGCAGCTCAACCTCACGTCGGGGGCACGAGGGGCACCCACTGTGCTCGGATTTAGCCCTGCCAGCCTGCCACCGAGCCGGCTGCCTGCCTGCAATCCCCCCAGTGCCGTGCCTGGCACCCAGCGGGGGTCCCCTGCGCCCTGGGGTCCCCTGCGCCCTGGGGTGCGCTGCGCCCTGTAACCCTGCCGAGGACACGGTGGCACGCAGCCGAGGCTCCTCAGCCTGCAGAGCGATGCAACCTGCCCAACAGGACTTGGCAGCCCGGTGCTCTGATTATTAAACCTTTCAGCAGCACCTGAGAGTGCCAAGCGAGGAGGGGAAGCTTGCGACAAAAGCGTGGTTTTCTGCAGCTTTGGGCAAATCCCTTCAACCTGCGCTTTGGCAACACGGGACGGGCTCCGTGCTCTTGTCGTGTTGGCTGGGAAGGTTTCCCTGCAGCCTGCGCTCGCGGGAGCTGCCAGATATTGCTGCAGCAGTCAGTATCGAAGTGCTCACCAGTAATGAACACCTCCAGCACCAACTGCTACCGGCCTGCACTTGAACGTGCTTATCAACCCCTGCAGGAGCCAGCAGCAAAAACTGCTCTGCAGAGACAAGGTCAAGCCTCCAGATTAAAGCTATTACTCACATAAGACAGTAATTGCTCCTAATCTCCGAGCGAAGCAAGGAGAAAGAGATTAGCTTGCCGGGAGCAGGGATGAACCTGTTACGAGAGCAAGTGGCCTGGAAACCTGCACCCGGCGCTTACAGAAAATCAAGCAGAGGGCGAGCAAAACGTGGTCACCAAGAGGTGGCTGGCAAATGTGTGGGCTGCTGGGGCTGGGGAGCAGGAAAATCACATTTTGACTTCATCGTTGGGCTCCAGCTGAGACCATTTGGGGTCTGGGCGCACAAACTGGGAGGCACTGGGGAGAGGAAGGCACACCACCACCGTCCTGCCAGGGCACTCGTGCTACCCCTATTGCTGCGGGCAAAGCCCCGCCAGCAGCTCGCAGGGAGCCCCTTCCCCTCACCTCTGAAGCATGTTAGCTCATTTATCTGCAGGCGAGCCCACGCCTCGCTGCCTTCAGCTGCAGGATATCAAAAGCAGCAGCTGGAGGAAGGCGCACGGCGCAGGAGGACTGGTCTGACGCCGTGTTCGGGGAGCTGCCTGGCCTGGCACGCTCCCTTCGGAGCAGGGTTTGTGGATTTAGGATTTATTGAAAGCTCGCCCAGACAGCACGTCTTCCCCGCTCAGCCCAAATAGCAGCGTGCTGCGGTCCCAGCGCTGTTGTTCTTTCCCAGCAAAGCATTTAAGATAGTCACAGCTACAAAGGTCGCTAAGTATACACACACCCTGCCTCCTCCCCGGCGCGCACACTTTGGGATCCTGAGCGGAGACACAGTCATCCCGAGGAGAGTCAGCAACGTCTCGGCCGGGGAAGACCTGTAATTTATTTTGTCTTCCCTAAAATGGCCTCTCTGATGGGTGCTTCGCCCGAGTCTGGAAACTGGTGGCCCTAAAAACAGCTACAAAACCTCAGGCTGGCTGAAAAGCAAACAGATATTCAAAGCAGCAGCAGCTCCTCCTGCACGCAGATGGCAGAGGACCTGCTGCTGCAGACGGAGCAGGGACTGAAAGTCAAAGAAAACATCTTGGGACCGGGAGATGCTAAATTAAAAACTGGCAGGTGGATTTCACACCTAGGGATTTTACAGCGTTTCGTTCTTCCTGTGCCTCTCGTCGCCGTGCACGGGGGTTTCTTTTGCACTTCTCACTGCCAAGGGAGCTTCCACCGACAGCTTTTGCCTCCTGCTCCTGCCTCCCTCCGGCTGCTCCCGGTTCCTCTGAGCATCCCAAGCCCCTCGGGGTGTCCCCCTGAGATGGGGGTGCAGGGTTGTGGCCAGGGAGTGACAGCGCCTGAGCCCTGTTGCCCACATGTCAATATTTGTCCCCAGCAAAGCTGCTCCCAGAGCTCACAATCGCCCAGGAGGTTCCCAGAATAGGGAGGGAACTGCCGAAGGACCCAGTGCTGCCCCTCGGGGGACAGCGTGGCTGTGAGACCCCAGTTCTCTCTCCAGGACAGCTGTGGTGCTGAATTAACTTTCCCTAGTTCCACCCCAAACGTGCCTGAAAGCAGAAGTGAGCGCAGTGCCTCCGTCACTCTGCGTCTGAAAGGAAAGGGAAAAACAGCAGCAGCTGGGAAGGAAGTGCACAGGCAGAGACTTTCCGAGAGAAGATGCAAAGGGCAGCGGAGATATCGAGCAAAAAGATGGGGAAATGAGGTTGTAACACACAGAAGCACACACCCAGCCCAGGGGTTTGGCTTTGCTGGCTCTGGCCCCTGCAGCTTTGGTGCCTTCACCTCCAGGAGCCCGCAGCCCCCGGACGGTGCGGTCACCTCTGATGCCCCAGGCTCCAGGAGAAGCTCCCTGTGCCGTGATCTCACCTCTTGGGTACAAACAGTGCTGCAGGAAGGGCTTTTGTCAGGACGAGCTGCAACACCAGGGCTGGAGACACCGTGCAGCACGCACAGGGAAATCCCAAAGCCCTCGCACGGATCCCTCCCGCCCCGTGCCAGCCCTGTGCGCTGCGCTCACCTTGATCCTCTCGATGCCGGCCTCGATGCGGAGCTGCTCCACCAGCTTGCGGGCCTGGGCTATGTTGTTAGTTGTTGACATTGTCTGCCATCGGCTCTAGGCCCCAGCACGCGAGAACACTGCAAAACAAGGAGGGGAGAGCGGGGTTGGCACCGCGCCGCCACAGCCGCGGCACCACGCGCCCGTCCTAACCCCGACGGCCACGTGCAGGAGGCTCCCGAGGGCTCTCAGCTGGTGGCAGCAACCAAAGGCTTCCTGATTTCGCTGCAAGTTCTCCTTTCCTCTTAACAGCACTCTTAGTGCTCTTTTTTGGGGCTTTTTCTTTTTTTTTTTTTGGATTAAAAAAAGAAACTTGCCGACGAGAGGGGAAAAACGAAGCGTTTTCTGCAGAAAGTCCTGCCAAAACGCGTTCAGGAAAGGGGCTGGAAACACCAACAGAGATTTTCCAGCTGGGGTAACCTGCCACGTGATGACTGCAGCGAGCCAGGCAGGGAGCAGGACGGGGACAGTGCTCGCCCTGGGTGCTCACCCTCACTTTTCATTTCCCCGCTGCCTCGCTCAGCCCTGCCCCGGCCCTTGCTTCTGCCAGGATTTCCTCCGCACCGTGAGACTCAGAGAGTCAACTAGAAATGTTTGATACCGTCTGACTCAGATCTGTGCTATCAACCTGTAAGTTTGCAAATTGTTCCTGAAAATAACGGAGTAATAAAGGCTTTGAGTAAGAAAGGTGGGGCCGGGTCCCTGCCGCCACCAGGCAGGGAGCCCCGGCAGGGAGATGCCAGGCGGTCACAGAGCCTTCCCAGGAAAGGGCAAGAAGCACCAGGGGAAGTTTGTCTGCAGGACCGGAGTGACCTGGCACTGACTAATCCATCGCTGTGGCTGTAGGCGTGGGACAGAGGCGGGGGCTGCAGCACCGAGCCAGGATCCTTCTCCCGTGCCGCTGTCCGCACGGGGCGGCTGCAGAGGTGGCCTCAGAGGTCCCTGCCCGACAGCCCCGGGGCAAAAAATACCTGGGGAGCAGGAGAGGCTGCAGCAGCCTCACCTCTGCCCACCAGAGGTTGGGAACCTCTGCCCCTCGAGGCCTGGGAGGCGTTACTCAGGGCGGCACGGGCTGCTGCAACGAGGTTTGGTGCTGCGCAAACTGGAAGGAAGAAGCAGGAGGGGTCCTGGGCAAGGAGCCTCCTCCCCTGCTCCCATTTCCGAATGCTGCAAGAAAAAGATTCTTTTCCAGGAGAAAGCAGCACCTCCAGGTCGGGATGCTTCACCTGGCAGACAGCTGGCTCCTGCAGCAGCGAGTGCTGCAGCCCCCGAGCTCCTCCGGGCTGCAGAGCTGCGCTCCAGCAGCCGTGCCCAGCGACCCCGGCACAAACCCGGCCATCGGCTGTGCCAGTGCTGCCTCAATTCTCCTCTCATTTCTCCCTGGAAAAAGCAGGCAGGTTTGGCTCGTTGGGCAGCTGGCTTGCGAGCAGCAACTCGTGGTTATCCCCTGTTCATTTGCATGCCCTAATAAATCCCCGCTGCGTGCCGAGCAGTTATCTCAGGGCACTGCAAACAGCGCAGGCAGCGGCAGGAAGGGGACGGAGCCGCCTCCACGTCACGCCGCTCCTACAACCACGCCGTCAACTCGACGGACCTCGTCCCGGCAAAGTCCGCTGCTCATTGATAAAACAGCTCCTCACCTGGGTAAGGAGCCAGCAGGCAGCTGGAGGAAAGAAAAAAAAAAAAACAAACACAACAAAAAACACAAGCACCGGGCTGTAATTTGTGTTTGCAACAGCGCAGCATCACCTGCTTGTACTTTTCCAGCTTCCTGTTTATGGAACAAGGACGATGAATCAGCCCAAGGCAGGCTCCTTAAAGGAACTTGTGGGCCCGCGGCAGCGCCGTGCCGGGGCGAGAGGCACAGCCCGGTGCCGGCCCCACAGAGCCCCACGGACACGGGGACGCGCTGCTGCGTGGTGGTGGCGTTGAACTGTGGTGGGGTTAGTCCTTGAAAAGCAAGATGTGTAAGTCAGAGGACGCTTTGCTCGGTGGGCACGGCACCCAGAAGGTGCAGGCACCTCCCTGCCCTTGCTCCTGTGCCGACAGGAGCCCTGTGCTGCAGTTTGGCACCCGGCGAGACCCCACTGCTGGGAACAGCAACGCGCCCTGCCTCGTCCGAGCGCACGGAGCAGCGTCAGTGGCACGGAGCTGGAGGTTTTATGGCAACAAACCCCAAAGCTGCAACTTCTTCTGCTCCCTTCTTGGCCATCGCTGCTGCGTGGGACCCCAGGAGGACCCAGGAGCTCTCCACGACGAGAGCTGGTGCTGAGGTCCGGACCATGGCACGTGCTGGGGGACCCGGTACAACCACGGCGGTGCTGCGGGACGTCTCCGCCTGGCAGGACTTCACAACCGGCTCCTGCACCCCGGTGAATAATTAACTAAGCGCGTCATTAACGACTGGAAGCCCTCAGCACAGAAGGAAGATCCAGCGGGTCGCTGCGTGGCACGCAAAGGGCGTCCTCGGGAGGGTTTTTTTTTAAAGCCAAAGCAAACTTTGAAGATGTCACTCGGCAGCCGGCTGCGTAAGGAACCGGCGAGGTGAAGGTGTCTGGAAAGCAGCCAGGCAGAAGCGTGCTGGAGAAAGGTGCACGCGGTGCAAATCAGGGTGACACAAGGGGCACAGCCAGGGTGTCCCCCTTCCGAGCTTCGTGTTTTCACTCGCTCTGCACTTGGAGATGCACAGGGAGGTGCCAGCTGTGCCGGGCCTGCAGGGGAAGCAGGGACAGGTCGGGACAGCCAGGTCTCGTGCGCATCCTCCTGTCCCCATCACATCACCAACACACACACACGCCCCGGCTTCCTTCCTGCAAGAGGGGCGAACGCTTCGGTGTTTCTGCACCTCCCCAGGGCAGGCTGCTCCCCTCCTGGTGCTTGTTTTGGACATCCCTCCATTGGATTAGCACAGCGTTAACTCAGGAGTTGTTCGGGCTGTGTGAGCAATTCCAGCGGGGCTGAAGTCATCGCGGTGCCTGCGAGGTGCCGGCTGCCTTCCCCCTTCCCTGCTCCTCTGGCCGGGCTCACCGGAGGGCTGAACCCGGGCTGTGGAGGCACTCAGGGAGCTGCAGCGAGGCTCCGCACCTCCACGGCTGTAGGGCAGTGCATGAAAACCACCGCTGCGGTGAGTTAAAGAGCTACAGGGGAAGGTGAAAAGCAGGAGAACGCGCGAGCGTTGTGGCACTGCTATCCAGAGGTGTTTCAAGGTCTCGGCTGACAAGAGGCAGTGATGAAAGGTTTCGAGGTCTTGCAGCACGCAGGCAGGGAGCCAGCCGGGAGCACGGCGAGGGACAGAGCAACCCCGAGAATGAAGCAACCGAGTCCCGAGCTAGGATTTGGCTGCGGCGCAGCCACCCCATGAGCTTCTGCCTATTTTTGGGAAGAGCAGCGGAGGACAGAGTCCCACCAGTGAGGTCGGGACAAATTCTGGGAAGATGGGGATTTGCTGTTTCAAACCGGTGTGCGTGTTATGAACCGAAAGCACGCGGGGATGCTCCCAACGGCGTCCTGCACCAGTTCAGACTCTGCCTCGAGGAAAATCACATCGTGCCCCAGGAGATCGGTTTTGTTATTAAACAGAAGAATCGGAAGGATCCCAGTGAAGGATCCCAGCAGCACGAGTGGCACAAGCAGAGGCCTTACATTCACATTCCTCACGTTCCCAGCAAAAAGGGTTTGTGCTGTTCACAGGCAGGGTGCTCCTGGCACTGCGGGTACCCCGCTGCTTCCACCACGACGAGCGCTCGGAGGGCATTCACGGGGCTGCCCTGCGCCTGCCCCCCCCGGCACCATCTCGGTGCAGCCCCCTGACGTCAACGCGGGCGGGCACGGGAGGCGTTTTTGCATCAGCTGGCTCTCCGTGTACCAGGTAGATGGCGAAGGCGGCGCGATTTTGGCTGCTGCAGCGCAAGCAGCGCGGCCCCTGAGTCAGCCGCGTGCAGCAGCCGCCCGTGGAGGAGCCGTGACTCAGCAGCAGCTCCCGGTGCAGCGGCCGCCTCCAGCTCAGCCTCCCGGCCAGGCTCCACGCAGGGTTTTTGCCCTCTCGTTCCTCTCCTCCACCTCCCGGCGTGGGAAGGCTCAGCCCGGACCTCGCTCCGTCCTGGCGAGGGCACCGCGGGGACCGCCGGCCTCGCGCCACCCACCCGGTGCCACCGTGCCCCGAAATATCACGCCTGGGGCTTGGAGGGGGACACAACGAGGGCGAAACTGCTGCCCACGGAGGTGTCAGCAAAAAGCCAGGCTTGCTGTAACGTGCCCCCGAGCTGTGAGACGTGCCGGGCAGCCCCACGAGGCTGGCAGCCGGCGCTGCCCATCGCTCACGCCGCTCCAACAAAGCCTTTTCTCTCCTAAGCCAGCGCTGCCACCTGCACGCTCCCACCCGCCGCCTCTCCAGCCTGCTGGCAGGAAGCGTGACGCTAGGCAAGAAATATGCACTGATCCCTCTCCTTGCAGAATTCTTCCCATGCTTCTCATAGCTGGGAGCAGCCACTCCTAACAGGCTAAATAAACAAGCCAACATCTGAGCAACTGCTGGTTGTGCTGCTCCTGTCTCTTCCCCCCCCCCCCCCCAAAAAAAAAGATAAAAACAGCCATGAGGTCGCTGGCGATGGAAATCCCTGATGAAAAGCATCTGAAGAATGCACCTCCTGGTGCCCAGCAGCTCCAGCAGCTCCTGTGGCCATACCCGGGCATCCTCCGGGCATCCTCCGGGCGTCCTCTGGGTGTCCTCCACACCAGGAGCCGGGGGGACGAGCTACTGGGGTGGGCTGCAAGCCCGTGCTGAAGGAGGGAGCCGGAGAGATGCTCAGGGGCAGAGAACATGCTCCTGGAGCAACTTTTGACCAAAGTTTCCACTGAAATGCCCACGAGCTCCAGCAGCGTTTTGCTGCAGCATTTTGCATGCGCTGCAAAGGGTCCCCGTGTCGCTGAGCGGTGGCACCAACCCTGCAGTCCCAAAAAGGTGCATGAAGCCATCCGTGACACTGCAGTGCTGAATTTATACTGACTGGTGGCCTGAGGGCAGCCCAGCGTGCACAGAGAGCACAGGGCAGCAGCAGAGGAGAGGCTTCAAGGCACAACTTGGGGCATTTAACGCACGGTGCTCGAGGGTGCGACGCGAGGAGATTCCCTCGGTGGGACTCGACATCCAGGATCTGTCTGAAAAACAAGCTGGAAGGGATGCACCGAGTACTCAAGCAGCTAACGAGCGGGTCTGCACCCCCAAATCAAGGAGTATTGCCCCAAATCACCCAGCTTTAGCAAGAAAAAGGCAGCAGTGCCACGCTTCCATGCAGCTGCTGCAGGACCCGGTCCCCGAGCGCACCCACGGGTGGGCACACAAGGGCCCGTGGCAGCTCAGAAGCTGCCCAAAAACTCCCCGGGGCTGCTCCCAAACCCCCCCCAGCAGCACTGGGGCCAGGGGAGCCCGGCGCTGGTAACCCAGCACAAACCCGCCCGGCGGTTCCTGCTTCTGGAGATGACCTCATGCTTTTTTGGAACAGAAAAAGGCTGTTAGGGCGATGGCATTTACTCCTTGTCTGGGCAGAACAAAGCAGGCTCCATTTTTCTTTTACACTTCCTGCATCAGTAGCTTAACAGCTGAATGAGCTATTGAATTTTTTCCTGAGTGCAGCAATTTTTCCTCTTTTTTTTTTTTTTCCTTCTTTAAGACCTCCAGATTTCTATGGCGCGGGACAATACTCGGGGAGAGCGTGGCGAGGAGCAGTCCCGGAGGACAGGGAAACGCTGCCTTCAAGGCGCAGGGGGGGGAAGCTCTGCTCAGGACAGGTTCATCCCACGTTTACACCGCCTGGCTCCGTTCCACTGCCTCGTTCTGCGGCACCGGGAGCGCAAAGAGCACGGGCAGCACAGGGCAGGGGAGCCGAAGCAATAAACACGTACCAGGAGTGCCCAGAAGCTCCTCCAGTTACAAACTGTCCCTCCGGACGTTGTCCCTGCCCAGGTAAATCACGGCTCCAGCAGGCTGGAACCGGGCCACGTCTTGTAGGGCACAAAGTCCCCGCTGCAGCCTCCAAGGTGCCAGCCCGGCTCAGCTCTGCCTCTAGAAATCCCATTAATTGCTGAAGTGTGTTGAAATGAAACTAGGGCAGCTGAGAGACCAAGGATTTGGGAAGGAGAAGCATCCCTGGAGATGCAGAGCTCAATTTCTCAGTTTCCTTCCCGTGAAAGGAAAGGGCTGCCTGGCCGAGAGCGCAAATCCCCTGGGATGCACCTGCCGGGAGAGCTCAGCCCGAGCCCCCCCGGTGGTCTGGATGCGGCCCCCACCTCCTCTCCACCCCATCTGCAGCAGCTCCGGCGCCGGCTGGGTGGTTCCTCGGGCAGGGCAATTACACACAATCAGCGCCTCTGTGCGGCACCGGGCACCGTGAGTCACCGCAGAGCTCCACGCTTATTTTTAGACCGTGCCTTTTTAAAAAAAAAAAAAAAAACAAAAACAAAACATAACAGCAGAGTGCAAAGGTATTCACATCGGTTGTCACCCCCAGTCGGCACCCAGCGCCTGCCACCCAGCTAGGGCAGATTTCGGGCAGGGTTTTTGGGCTGCAGGTTCCCAAGCTCTGTGCTCGGTGGGCAGGAGCAATGCAGGAGGCTCTGCTGGGCTCCTGCACTCATCCACGGATGGTGTGGATGGCCAAAAACAAAATAAACGCTCCGGTTTATCATTTAGAGCAGAAACCAAAGCGGGGCTTTGCTCGAGGTGCCCAGGGGCTGTGATGGGATGAGCGCGGCATAAATCCGAACTCGTGCTGCCAGGTCTGCTCCGTCCTCATCCTGCCTGCATTTCTGGTCAGTTCACTCAGCACACGAAGTGCACGGAGGGGAAAACCCCAACTGGCTCTGCACACAAAGCACTGCGAGCTCGTGGCTTCCACGGGAGCTCTGCTGCAAGAAGCGGCCGCAGGGTGCGTGGCCACGGGACCTGCAGGAGTGCTCAGCAAGGAGCAGAAAAGCAGCCCCAGCCCTTACAGCACTGCCACTGTGCGTGTCAGCAGTGCCAGGGCTGCTGCAGGGCTTTTGGGGTTTTGCACCCCAAAACCTCCCATCCCTGCCCCACACCGCGCTCTCGCTTTGAGTCTGCTCCCTTCACCTGCAGCTTCCCCTCCTGCCCGAGATGAGTAAAGCTGCAGGATGCCTGCAGACACCACCACGGGCTCTCAGCAGCCCCAGGTGCCCAGCCCATCTCCTCGGCAGCATTTCTGCCTCCTCCTCAGGTGGACGGGCCCAAAACTTCCTCCGTGCTCTTCGAAACCAGCCCCAAACTTCCCCCGCTTCGAGCGCTTTCGGTTCTGCAGCTCCACCGCGCCGCTCATCAAACACACGCTCACGTCTTCAATTCTGGCCCGAAGGAGGCCCTGATTTACTGATTTCAGCTGGCAGACCGAGGACTAAATCTGTACATCCTGGCTAGACCACCGCGGGGTTTGTCCTGGCCTGGGAGCTCCTGATAGCAGCCCCGCATTGAAGCGAGGCCAACGGAGACTAAGCAGGAAGCCGGGCTGCACGGTGGCACCGCTGCAAGAAGTTACAGAAGGAGATAAAAGGAAGGGAAGTTTAGGCTGAGTGTCACAAAGCTTCCTGAGAGCTTCCCAGAGCCGCACAGATCCGAGCTGGGAACGGCCGCGGGCGGCAGCGCTCAGGGCATTGGGAGCAGCAGGGGAAGCTCGGTGCAAGCTCCCTCCTTTACCAGGGTACGCAGGGCACCCCGGGGGGCTCACACAAACCCATCAGCCTCGTGTACAAAAGGCAATTTTGCTGTGGGATCGGGTGATTTGAGAGCATTATCCGCACCAACGCCGAGCGAGCAGCCTCCGGCTGAGCCTGCGGTCGCGGCTGCTGCGACTCCCCCGGGGGCTGAGTGGGTGGCAGGTCGTGAAATGACTCCTGAGCTTTCTACACCCCAAAAAGGAGAACCCTGCGCCTCGCAGGGCTGCCTGAGCCTTCCCCCAAACCCGAACAGCATCAAGAGGGGATGGAGAAACCCCGGCACGGCCGGGGGAGCGTGGGCACCGCGTGCGCTCCTCTCCTCGTCCTGGTCCCTGCCCTGCCCCAGCCTCCTGCTTCCCACCTGGGGGGCCCGAAACCACACTGGAAATGGGATGGGGAGATGCCGGGCTCTTTAATAAGGGCAAAGGAAAGAAAACACGGGTGAGGGCACGGGTCTGAGTCAGCTGGCAGAGCTTGCGGTGTTTTGGTAGAGAAAGCAGCGGAGAATTTCCCAATCAGCAGCGCGTGGCTGTTAAAGGTCCCCGCCGCACACACACTCAGAGGCTCCGGTGGCTGTAATGTGCAGATAAAATTCCCAGACCTATAAAAGCTCCCTTATCACTGCAAGTCTCCTTCCCGAGCCTCCGGGAGAGGCAGCAGCACCTCGAGCACTCCCCCTGCCCCCGGGGAGCCTTGGGGTAAAGCCCCCCCAGTGCTTCTCCTTATCTCCAGCTTATTTTGCCTCTCCCCAAAAATAGGATCCCGTGGCAGCCGCACGGAGCTGAAGCAAGATTACAAGAAAGCCCTAAAATAAGAATTCAGGGCGAACGCTGAGGAATACCCTTCCCTGGAGCACTGTGCTTATTTTAGCCTCTGCTGGCGAGAGGCGAGCGTGTTTGCTGGGACTTGACACAGCTCTGCACGCCGGGGCGGAGGGGGCGAGGAGCCTGGTTTCAAGCAACTTAAAGTTTTCATTGTGGAAAGAGTGTTTGGTGGGAATTACATCAGAACCACAGGCTACAATATGCTCATTGTATGGCCGGGCTCGGCTTGCTCAATGCTGCTTGAGAAGATAGGGAGCGGGTAAATAATCGGGGTAAGGGAGCCGTTAGGAGCCTTCCCAGCACAATGTGCCCCTGAGCTACCTTTTTTTTTTTTTTTAATGCTATGGAAAGAGAAGCAGGGCTTGTTCCCTGCACCGACGGCAGCTCTGACACACAGGGCATTCAAACAGCGTGTCGAGGCAGCCAAAAATAGGCTGCCAGCCCCGGGGAGAGCAAACCTGGGCTCATTGTCGAGCTGCCTCGGATGGGGACGGGGGCATTTCCCCCGGCTCCCCCGGCACGGCGCCGCCGTCAGCGGGGAGGAGGAAGGCACAGGGCAGACGTCTGGTCCCCCACACACGTCTGAATAAGCCAGGGGAGCAGCTCTGGCTCTAATTTAACCTTTGATGAGTTCTGCAGACCGTCCGCGGGCAGCGCGGTTCGGAGTCACCGCGGGGACTGCTCCTCCGCAGGCTGGGCTGAGGTCACCCGGTGCTCTCGAGGACGATTTATCCTGCGTGGAGACGCGGGGGCCAGCTGCTCCGGCGTCACCCTCGCTCGTCTGGCCTTCAAAGAGGGACTCGAGGCCGATTTCCTCCCTTGCAGACTTGTTCCTGCGCTGAGGCCGAGCAGTCCGAGCAGTCCGCGGTGACGTCTCCCCCTTCAGCTCGCTTTCTGCAGCCTCAGAGATCCAAAGCCAGGAGCAGGACCTGTGCTGCACATGGCTCTGGGGATTCATCCCCTGGGACATCAGCAGCAGAGAGACTGAACAACGGGAGACAGCACCCGCAGGAGATGTGGTACCCACCAGGGGTTTGCCTGCGTGGGGCTCAGCTTCATGCCCGGCTCTGCACAAAGGGTGAATTTGCAGCCATCAAGCTCGGGAAAAACAACTCCCCTGAGCTTAGGACAAAAATATTTGCTTAAAAAATGATCTGCCTTCTGTTCAGGCTGCAGGGAGATAAGCGGTGCTCTTCGTACGAATGTTCTCTAGGCAAGGCTCGCCCTACTGGGAAGCTGCATCCAGCTGATGCTGAGCAAACAAGAAAAGTGCTGACGAGCTCGCTGATGAGCCTTGGTGTAGTAAAGACAAAAAAAAAAACTCCTAGAAAATGGGAGCCAAGAGCATTTTAGCCTCTTTTGTGCAATTTAAGAGGGCTGATAGAGAGCTGGCTACAGCACATCTCAGACAGCTTCCAAAGAAAGCCCATAAATCACGAGGTATTTTCAGCTGTCAGAACATTGCTCTACACTTCGTCCGTCCAGAAAACATTTCTGAAGCCACATTACCAAAAGCAGGGCGTCCTCAGCGCTCTGCTCCTGCTGACCACCATCGGGGGTGACGAAGAGGTTGGCCCCAAGGGCCAGAGGATTGCACAGCCTCTGCTGCACAAAGCCTTGCTTTTTTTTTTTTGCTTTGCTTTTTTTTTTGCTTTGCTTTTTTTGCTTTGCTTTTTTTTTGCTTTGCTTTTTTTTGCTTTTTTTTTTTTTTGCTTTGCTTTTTTTTTGCTTTGCTTTTTTGTTTTCAGCCTGCCCCGTTTCAAAACCCGGTGCTATCTTCACCTCCTGGCTAGGAAAAAAAGCTCGTCTGAAGTGAAGATGGGAACAGCCTAAATGATAACACCGGGAACTGGGGAGCGAGGAGGGGAGTCAGCCACCAGCTGGTTAAAACAAAGCTGCACGCTTCGTGCTCCATTCCTGGCCGCTCCACCAGCCAGGTATCTCCCAGCAGGCAGATAACAACCCCTGAGGGGTCTTTAAAGAACATTTCTTTGCAGGGTTTTAGCACATTTCAGCTAGCAGAGCTTGGAACACGTCTGGCTGGGCCTTGCTTCAGCCCGGTCAGAGCACAGCAGAGCTGGTTTGCCAGGTTCCCAGATGAAATCTTCAGCGTGAGCTGCTCACGAAAATATTTCCCTTTGCTTTGCAATGCAATTATTGCCAGGGAACAGCCGCAAGAAAACAACAGCACCTCTCTGCTCCCTGCATCTGCTCTGGTCACATCTGGGTCACGCCTGCTCGCTCGACGGCCGGGCGAAGAAGTTTTTTGTGCTTTGAGCTTTGCAAAGGCGCTGTGCTTCCACTGCGAGGCTGCGGGCGAGGTTACTCATTGCAAGTTCTCCTGGGGTGATGGTGTGAGCAGAACGAGCACCGAGCAGCTCTGAGATGGTGAATTCAGGTCGTAGCGGTTGCAGCTTGACTCAGCGAGGAAATCTGATGCGCCCGCCCCACCTGAAACTCGAGGACGGAGCTGGGCGCGCGCGGCTTCTCCGCGGAGTCACCGAAAGCTGCAGAGCTGCCTGCGAACGGGGCTGGAGTGGAGCAACAGCACCGACTTCAAGGGATGGAGCCTACGAGCCTCTAGACACGATGGTGCCATCAATGAATCAAGGCGACCGTGCCCTGAAAAACAGCGCCTAGACAGGGAGTTGCTAAAGAAACGTCGACGTTGCAACAGAGATTAAGAAATGCGGCGGCTTGACAGCCACGGGCAATGTGTCCAGACAGCGAGTGCAGATCTCAAGAGGCGAGAAAAGAGCCCTGGCCACTGCCCTCACCCCCCAGCATCCTGCAGTGACCTTGACTCGAAGCAAACACGATCCCTGCTCGTGTTAATATCCCACGTGGGGACAGCTACCTGCAGCCACGGGCAAGGAGGAAAGGGGTTCAGGACAGAATTATGTGAAATTGCTGGGACCCTGGGTGCATCCCAGGGGCACTGCACGGAGGAGCTGAGCCCCCGGTGCTCCAGCCCCCATGGGCCCTGCAATGCCCCCCAGCTCGGCATGGGTCCGACTCCAGCACCCTCAGAGCTCAGAGGCTGGAGCTGCCCACGCCTGGTGCTCAATGCAGGCGTTTCTCTGCTAATGCAAAAGCAAGATCCCCCTCCCTGCATAATTAGCAGCCTCGTGCTAACGAAGGCTGAGAAAGAAACCCAAGGCGAGGATTCAGAGCCGTGACCCCACACCGGTGCTGCTGAACGACCCCGGATGGCTCGGGGACACCCATCAGGACCGTGCTGTCACTGCCAGCCAGGCACG